AAAAAAAAAAAAAAAAAAAAAAAAAGAGCCCTGCCAATGGCATACTTGGCCTTGTAGGGGTTTGGTGCCCCCTTGGGAGTGGTGGAGGACCACCTCCAGCAGGCAACAACACATTTTGTGTTGCTGTTTCAAATAAAGTTGGCTTTGCATCCGAAACAGCAACACAAACTTTGTTGGTGTCGTTGTTGCCATCAACATTGTGGGGGGGAGAGAGAGAGAGAGAGAGAGCTGCCACGGTTGCACAATAATAGTTCGCGCAGTCATGCACGGTGTCCGCAATCATGCAACCAGGCCCACTTCCCCAGAACGTCTTCTCGTCTACCCAGAGCTTGGATTTCGCCTCCAACTCTTACTCCTGACGCATTCGTTTCTTCCTCAAGTTTAGAGAGTCGTCGTCCTCGCAGTCTGCCCGCGGAATCTCATCCCTCCTCTCCTCTTTCCTCCCCGCCTCTTCAACCCTTCGATCTTCTCGTCTTTCTCCCGCAGCAGTGGCGGTGGCATGGACACTCGGGCTTCCAGCTTGGTGGAAGGTGCGACAACCCTTGACGACCCCCCGGCCATCACCATGTTCGACGGATCCACGTGGCGCAAGGGGGACACAAGGACTTGACAATGTCCTTTATCCGTGCGTTCGACAACGGAAACGATGGTTGACATTGAACTGACAGGCCTTTGCGGTGTCATGTCATTGATGTCAATCCCGTGAGAATGCACGGTTCCGCTCCCGCTGCCACGTGGAGTCCCTGAAAGACCAAGGTTGGCTAGTGCAATCATGCGCTCCCTGTTGACATCGTCTCTCCCGAACCCAAGCGTTGGCGTGGCCGTGGAAGGGATATCCATGGGCGACACATATTGTCCCCCCTCACCCCCCATCTCGCCCTCCGATCAGTCAACCCCGCGCAACTTTTTGGACTTCAGGACGTGCCCCCTTCCAGTTTGCCCGCCAGCGCCTTCGCCGGATCTGCCTTCTCGCCTTTTGAATTGGTACTGTCCACGTGGTGCCATGCGCTACCGATCGCTCTCCCACATCTCGCAAATGAAGGCGTTGTGAGTCTACCGCGTCCCGTGGACGACGCCGCTGACAGATAAACAAGAGAGAGACGGGCAAGTGAAGACAACGGTGGGCGATGGCGAGGATGATCAACTCCCGGGGCACTGGAACAGAGCCCCGATGCGTGGCAAGGAATGAACGCCCTTAAAGTCGAGGACACGAAAACCAGCAGACATACACCGACCTTTATAGTGCTGGCGGTGACCTTTCCCTGCCACGGCGCGGTCCCTGAATGACGGTGTTGATTTCCCCCATCCAGGCCGGGGAAATTCCAACCTCGGGGAACTACCCTATACATATATATACAAGTGGCGAAGAAAAGTACGTACTCCCAGCAATCACACACGGCACTCCCGTCGACCTGCAGGAACTGTCAAACTGTGCACACTGTGCCTTCAACAGCGCCCTTCCTGAGTGCATGTGCGGAGTCACCGCCATCACTACAGCGCACATGTTCTTTCTCTTGCCAGCACCCCCCGTGCTGCCTGCACTGAACATGGACTCCCGCCCCGACCCTCCATCTTAGTCGTTGCCATCACCCACATCTCCCCCGGCACAAGATTCGCCTGCAGAGGATGGCCAACGTTGAGTATCCCTCGACATCTGCACTCCTCCCCGGGCACTCGTGTTCGCAAGTTTATTCGGGTAGATGGTCTTATTGCCTTGAGACATGTTGTCGCCCACAGGACCCTTCGATCCTCGAATGCCACGTGATGCGGCCTTCTCTTGATGTCCGCATCCACCCCTCCGTCTACCACGCACACCAACGGGTCGAATCTCCAAGTCTTCCGCATCTTCTGGTTCCTCCTCGCAATGAGAATCTGATTCAGAGATTCTTCACCACTCGCCCTCCGAGTGTCATCCGCATTGGTATCGCGCCCCACACTCATCCGCGACACCCCGTTTGTTATGTTATCAGCGATCGCTCGGCGCATCTGCTGGCGACAGGACGCCCACGCCTGCCTCCCCATTTCTTCCGGTGGAGAAGTGCTGGTGAGCCTGGTGTTCGCCGCCAGTGCGACCGCCCTCTGTCGCAGTGCAGGCAAAGGCGTCGCGGAGTGGGTGGGTAACACTACGCTCGGCGGATCGCCAGCTGTTCTGCCGCCTCCACAAATGGAGGGCGCTGGACGACACCCATCTGTCGTGCCACCCACACCGGAGGATCTTCCACCTACCCCCACCACTCCCACTCGACTCACCGACGTTTGCCCGACAGTCGTGGCGCCCACGTGGTTCGATGCACAAGTGTTAGCACCCACTCCAGGCGTCCCACTTGGCAAGCCAAAATCCAAGTCCACAATCTCCGTATGGCCACCGTCGAGACCCCCCTCCAACATTGTCGAGTACGACTGACCACTAGTCCCTACTTCCCTTTGCTGGTAGTGCCTCCCCATCCAGTCCTGCGTAGATCCGCTCCCCGAGGAAGAGTGTGGGGCAGATCGTCCACCCATGCCTATTCCGGATCCGACGGTAGCGGTTGCTGGTGCAGCGGGAGATGACTGTACAACGTGGGGTCATATGCGGGTGGACGCTGGCCCGACACCGGCCGCTCATGAATGGAGAATTCAATCGCACGTCTGTGTTCTCCGGCGGAGCTCTCCCGCCTTTCCATTGTCGCCTTCGCTGCCACTTGTTGTCTCCATCTGCCACGAGGACCCCGTACAGCGACACAAGCAGGCAACAGGACGACAAGGAGCAGGAGAAGAGTGGCCAGCAATAGGAGCGGGAGCCGTCGGAGGACGTCTGCCATGAATCGCAGCAGCTGTCGATCTGCACCGAGAGGAGATCCCTCCCGCGCGCATGTCAATGCCGGGCAATGGACGATGTCGAGGAGAACAGCAGTCGGCCGGCGGTGCTCACACGGCAGGGACAAAATAAATTTCAAAAAGTCGACCATTGGACACCATGCCCGACGACGCGCACAAGGAGAACCCCGCCACATGAACGGTGTCGTGGCCGAAGAACCGCCCCCCGACCCTCGACGTGCCAACGGTAATGGCACAACGCTATTGGGGGCCTGTCGCCTGCCGGAAGCCGATGTTGGCTGCCTGATGTACCACGGACGACCTGTGGACCACGAACAACTCCAATTTTTGGTGTCGACGCACAGTCCACGACGATCCGTCAATCGCGGCTCCTTGAGCCCAAGGGACCTCGCGAGGGCCCCTTGAATCCAAGGACGCTGTGGCTGGCGATTCTGAGGAACCCGAGGAAATCTCTCGGGAGCGTTTTCACATTTATCCAAGGAATTTGGAGAATTAGGATGCAGTGTAACCACGCCGAATTCCTAAAATCGCCTTCCCAAAGAGGGTTTAACGAGGCCCTTAGCTGGGCCTTTTCTTTGATCGTACGTGTACGGACCTGGTGGCCAAAGTTCGATAGGAATTAACTACATGCGAGGGGGGGGGTTACCTGGAAAGAGCGCGGAAACATAATAAAAACATTTTTTTTCACCGTTTTTCTAAAGGGCGTTTGCCTGGAGATATGAGTCTTCGTTGCGCTGCTCTCCACATGCACAAAAAACAAAAGAGATGGCAATGTATCTTTCAATGTTCTGGTGGAGGATTCAGTCTATTTCTGCACATTTGAAGAGCAGTGCAGGGAGGCCCATCTTCATTGAAGCTGACAGGCCCCGAGTAATGCAGAATTTATGTTATTTTGGGCATCTGATTGTATCTGGATTCGAACTCGAGTCTGCATTTCAACAGTTCGTGGGCGTACCGACTGAGGGCATAAGGTCTCGCTCCACTACTATCTGCTGTACGATATCGGACGCTGGGACACTGCTCCACTTACTATCCAAAATGTACCCTCGGAAACCACAGTATAGTTGTCAGATGGCGCCCTCCAGATTCACCTCATCCCGTATGGTTCCCAGCGTGCAAAAAATGTTATTTGGAGGGTGGTCGAAGGAGGCCGCCTGTCGAACGCAAAATCAGATAGTCCGCCTGGAGTCTGGGCCGACAAATTGTCGTCTTGCAGTGCTGTAAGGGTGTTTTGTAGTGAACTCAGGAATTTGAGACTTGTATAACAGATTACTTGGTCACAATATACTCATATAATGCCGGCGGCGCACAGGGCACTCCAGTGGCAGATCCTATATCGTTGTCTGCCCACCCCCGAATGGCTCGTTACAAGAACAGACCTGGAACAACAAGGCCACCTCTCACCTATATGTCGCTACTGCTGCAAGACCTCCCAGCCTGCTCGAGCGACCCTGGAGCACTGCCTATTAGGCTGCCTCATGGTCTCCCAGATATGGAGGTGGTGGGATGCCGCATGGACGGCCCTCACATGCTCCCAGTTCCCCTGGCAACCCAGGCTACTGCTCTTAGGGAACCGGGCAGACATGCCGCCAAATTGGTCATCCTATGAAAGGAACCTCTTTCCAATCACAAGACTTGGGCTATTGATGATAGCCTGGCGAGCCCGCTGCTCCTTCGAACGAAACCAGCACACGTTCGGACTCCCGCAAGCCAAAGAACACATCACAAACTACTTGACAGCCAGGGTGAAAGCAGCATGGGACCACCTCCGACACCAAATGCGGTTGATAGATGATAACCCGAGCCTCACCCCTCATGCCAAGAAACAGAAAACAGAGGAAATGAGGAACCAGTTCTCGGATGAGTGGCTGGGACCAACGAAAGCGATAACAGACATCCACGATTCGCAGATACAGGAAACACTGGAGGAAGGACGAAAATGCCTGGACCTACAAACTACTATCTTAGTTTTTCGTCCCCTGCGCAGCCACCCCCCCTTCCTTCGTTCTCCTTCCCAACTAGCCCCCCCCCTCATAATCCCCTCCCCACCTGACAGAATCGGTACTGCAAGTCTCCGAAGACCTCGGCGCGCAATGTGCCTATCTGGCACTTGCAACCTCGGTGGAAAGAAGCAGGATTTGGGGAAAGCTTTGGACGGGTATGGGGCTCTTAGGACAGGGACAGTGATGGCCAAGACGAGACCGTGGCGGAAATCAGGAATCGACTGGACGTCGGTGAAACGACAGTTGCAATGGACTCACAGCCCAACATGTCGAAGGGTGTTCGAATGGTTTTGGGGTGTGTTTCGGAACGTCCCGGAGTGGAAGCGACAGGCTGACGACAACAACAAATTGGGCGGCTGCAGGAACCTGGGATGGTCTGAGTCTGGCAGTCCTCATGGTGATTGCGGTCGGAGAAGGTTGAGAAGGCCTGACAGGCGAGACGGGCTGCATGCCTGCATCTCTGCGTAGGGGAAGGAATGACGAAGGGAGATGCAAGGTTTCGATGGAGCCAGGAAGTGGGCGACGAATAAAGCAACAACAAAGGGGGGGACAGAAGGAACCACCGCGCCTCTCGGCACATCATCGTATTGCAGATGGTCCCCGCCTCGACAGGGGTGCTCCAAGATACTAACTTTCTATTGTCCCGTGTTGCGCTGCTGTACGTTCTGTCTCATTGCACAGCACTGGGCCCTTAATGGAAAGTCTGATTTTATGTAAACCTGAGAGCGGGTTTGGGATGTCAAGAGCTTTAACGTTCATTGTTGCGGCAAACACGGGATTTGAAGAGGGTACAAGGTTTAACGGGTACAAAGGGTTTCAGAAACAGGGGGGTTAGAATAAGGGGGGTTGCAGACACCGAGGATAGGAGTTCTCCCACTAGCAGCAGGAGGAGCGTAGACATTGAAGCACAGCGGACACCATCCTGGGTGGGGCTAGGCCAGCGGGAAGTAGGAGCTCTACAAATTGGAAGGGTAACATATGCATCCCTGAGGGAAAGAAGGATGCTCAGGAGCAGAAACTCTAACGCCCATATGCCCGACAAACACTGTACCACAAAGATGTATCCAATGGGACGCTGGACCCAATTTCCAGCAGGTGCTGCTCCCCACCAATAGATGGAGCCTCCCCGACGGTGCTAGATGTGTCTGCTCTTATCAGCACACCTAGCATCTGATCGGGTTGTTTTTTAAAAAAAAAAAAAAAAAAAAAAAAGTTTTAGGGCGTACTCACACAGCGGTGGCAGTCTAGCAAAATCTGCTGAATTTTCTTTCCCCTGTTTGCTGAAGTCATACCCCGCCCGGTCACACGTGGGTTGCAAATCAGAAAGGACACGAGCAGGACTCTCTGGCAATTGCAAAACTGGTGCCTCGCATGGTCACAAAGCGCAGATTTTTTTTTTTTTTTTTTTTTTTTTGAAAAAGCCCACGGTGTTGTAGAGGTCTGTTTCTGGACCCACCACAGATACAGTCAGCAACTAATTTATGGGACCCAGACCATCCTATCTTGGAGGATCCCCCTCAGACAGCCCCTACTGCAGGTTCCCCAACGATTTCCCTTCACCAGAGTCTGTCTACTAACACCCCTCCTACCGGGATCCCTTAAGACAATCCCCTACTGTAGGTTCCCCACCGATATCCTCCAGCAGAGCTTGTCCCAAGCCAACCCTCCCCCCAAACGGGACCCCATCCCACCTAACGCCCTTGCCCCCCCCAAAGCAGAGCCTAAGGTAACCAACACACATGAGCAGTCTAACCACAAACCCGTACCTGCATCCTCATTAGACTGCTAACTGTATCAGGCAAACCCCTCATAGGCCAGGACCCAACATACAACACCATGGACAGTCCCCTGGGTGGTGCGGAGGCAGTGTCTGTAATAGATTACCATGCGTCAGCCCAATGGGTGTGTGTCCAGCCGTGCGTCATTCGAACGCCCTGCCGGTGTCCATGCGTGAGGCTGCGGATTTGAACCCGCAACCTCATACCACAATGTGCATTTCCAACCGGTGCTCGAACCACTGAGCTTCCCAGAAGGCGAAAGAGAATTTGCGACAGCCAAAAGAGAATTTGCCACCGCCTCTCGAGGTGGTAGCAAAATGCCCATCCCCATGGCTCCCGAGGCCGCTGACAAATGCTACCCCGTTTGCAATTTTGGTGGTCGGAAAACCCTAGTGTGACTATAATAGCATAGCAGATTTTCCGATTTAGCGAAAAAAAACGCTAATGTGAGTATGCCCTTATACGTTTTTTTTTTGCTCTGACAGCTATACGGCCGCAGTATGAAATTGTGTACAGCAGATAGTAGTGGAGCGAGACCCATACTCACTCTGCCATGTATTTCGATTACACCACATCCTGGTCACACACCACAACCCTATTCAGTGCCGTACCTCCGTTCACCATTCACAGGGTCGGTGAACGAGGGCCCGTCACCGATCAATGCGATCATGAGAATAGGGTGGGGGTCATCCGAGGGTAACCCCCCCCGAATAATGTTTTTTTTAGTTAAAATTTCAAAACAAAAAAAAAAATGCAACCAGCCAAAATAAGCATTTTTGTTTGTTGTTTTGTCAGTTATTTCGATTTTTTAATTGTTTTTTTAATGTCATCAGGCTGTGGGGCTTGAGGAGACTGTAGCTAGGTGAGCCCAATTAAAAAAAAAAAAAAAAAAACTCTCTTTCATGGTCTGTCCGTTCACTCTGAACGGCCGTTCACAGGCACAGGGCCATATGACCGGTGCGGGTCACATTGGCCCGATTC